TATGGATAGCTGATAGAGAAAGCAGGTTCACTTTTGACCAAGTTAGAAGGTTGTCTGGTAGGGTGATCAGCCAGTGGAACCTGCTGTCCCCTCTGTCTGTTGATGTAGGCAATGGTTGTGGGATTTTCTGATTAGTTTGGTTGCAGAGAATTGGTTTTGCCAAAAGATGAGCGCACAGGCAACACAAGTGGTGGCAATGGCCAGTTTGAAATTGGCTGCTCTTGCTTTCCAAGCCTTTTTTAACAGAGCCTAGGCCTTTTTGTCAATTGGATCCCTCAATGTTCCTGTATCTTAGAAGGATAGGTCAGTTCTCTTGGATATTTTAGATAGGGAGGCATCTATCTTGGGACATTTAGCCCAGAGATCTGTATCCTCCTCCGAGAATGGGTATCTGCATTTTAGTGACGTCGGTGTCCTTTAAGGATCGATGAACTGGGAATGTATGTTTTTTTTTTGGGTTGTGCATTTTGTCGTGTAGAGATAACTGGGTATGCTCTTCCTTGATACTCAGGGTTTCAGATATGGCTTTGAGCAGTTCCTCAGTGTCTTCTCTGGGAAAGAGAAATTTCTGTGCTTTTTCTTCCTCCTCTGTGCTCTCACCACATTCCTGATCTTCTGATTCTGCTTAGGATCCCTCTGAGTCCCTGTCCTCCTGTCTGTCAGGGTCTTCCCAACTGCAAGATGCTATGGGAAATTGAATAATAGGAGGAGGATTCAATATAGGCCCTGCGATTGTTTGCATTTGCAGGTTCTGGACTAGCAACCGAAGGGAGAGAAAGATTGCTGACATCTCTTCTTTGACTGAAGAGACTAACCACTGTAGTATTCTCTGAGATTCTTTTACCACAAGTTTGTTGACATTGTTGACATATTTCTGATAGAATGGTTTAACCCAACTAGCTGTCATTTTAGTATTGCAGAAAGGACACTGCTTAGGGTGAGAATGTGAGCCACTGGTTCTAGGCTTCCTGTCCTCTGAGGTCTTGGTCAGGAAATAAAGACACAAGATCCAGTAAGGAAATGTGGGGAAAAAGACGCCATTCCTACTAAAGTCAAAAGGAAATAATGTGGGTAAGAAAACAGGTAATGGCCCCTGGCTTACCTAGCAAGCAGATCTGCAAGGCAGGCCAATGGAGTGGTGTCCGACTTGGACAGCTTAACAGTGATCTCCCAAGTCTGATATTTTAAGTATCCTGCTCCTTGTTTTGGCCCCTCCCTCAGCTATCCGTATGTATAGGTACATATTGTGTACATATTGCATTAAGCTGTGTCTTTAGCTGCCTCTACACACAATGAAAAATGCCTCATCCAGGTTCCTGGTTACCCAGCCAGAGCCACAAGAAACCACAGCTTCTGAAACTGGAAGTGACATAATCCAGAAGTGCCAAGCACTGGAAGTGACGACACTAAAAGTTCCACATGTCCGGTCAACCTCTTCTGTCCAGCATTATGCCTGAGAATAAGCCTGGCACCATGACACAATTGGCGCAGTCATCATTTCTGCCTTTTTGCTATACTTGGGGCTTCAGGCAGCCTGATACCTGTACCGATATTCAGGTTAGCACACCTATACTGCACTTGGGGTGTCCTCTCCCGGATCTGGGCTGGAAGTGTGTGGGGTCGCAGAGTAAAGCACCTGGGCCATTTATATGGAAACAATTACCGCTGAAAGGAGTGAGAAAGATAGCATGGGGAGCTATGTCCATTATTACCCCAGCACAAACCAAAACTCCACCTAGGCAAGCCCAGCATCCTGTGATACCATGATAGGCAGTCGGGTAGGGAAGCTTCTGCAACAAGCATAACAGCCTTCTCTAAGAAAAAAATTACAAACGTCTGATGCTGCTGTTGCTCCAGAGGAAACATGAAGAACTGAGGCACAGAGGTACGTATCACCTTTTTAATGGTGGATGATGTGTTTCCTGTTTTAAGTGGAAAGAGCCCTCTCTGATGTTGCCCTGGAAGGTGACTTGAGAAAAAAATGTGTATACCCCAAAATCTTTTTAATGTACCAATATAATTAAAGGTTTAATTATTTAAAAGAGAAGTGTGGGATTTTTTTTTTTTTGCCCAATGGCAATGATACTTATGTAGGTGGATGCAGTATCGGTCTGATGCTGAATCTGTCCCCCACCAGTTCTAAAGGTGAGAACTCTGATCTCTGAGTTCTCATAGCCACTCTGAGCAGAGAGCGGGAATGATGTCAGCCAGATGCTCTGCCTCTGTCCATGCTCACTGGAGCACTTGTCTTAGAAGGGGGAGGGAGCGGTTGGTCAGGCTCTCAGCAGATCGCAGAAAGGCTGAGCCAGGTGCCGCTCCAGACTCTGGGGTGGATCCCGACTTTGAAGTCAGGATCTTTCCCCAGCCTGGACTGGCTGAGTGATGTCAACCGACAGCAGGCTTCAGCTCACTGTCAGCTGAAAACTTGTCACAAGAGTGCAGAATGAACTGTACTCCTGTGACCCGCTTTGGCTGTACTTCTCCTTTTAACAAATATGCATGGATATTTAAGAAATTAAAGTGAAAGTTGGTTCATTATACAACATAAGTCCCCATCTGTGTTATAAACCAGTGATTTTAGATACACAGTTGATCACAGAAGTAGGATTTGTATTGTTAACTATATAGTAAATATTCTCCATTATACATCAATATACAGTAAATATAGTAAAAATGTAGCTATTCGTGGAAAAATACACAATGATTGTCAGATGCTACAGTATTGCACTTTTGATCAAGTTGTCAGTTTTGCAAGTTTATACTATCACTTATCACTACATGAACTTTTTATGAAGTTTGTATGACTCAATCTAATATTCCTTAAATTAGAATTAAACTCTGCTAAAAAAAAATTCTAAGTGGCCCCCCAGGAGGAAAATGTTACAATGTGCTAGTATGCACTGCATACGAGCACATTAAGACAGATTTACCTATCAAAAGAAGCCCTCCAGCTCTACTCTGGGAGAAGATGGAAACGTCATAGCATTGACAGTTACGCTGTTCAGGTGCTTGAATAGCCAGGCCACGATGACTTCACACCTACATACAGTATGCGCAAGGTAGTCATTTCATCATGGCACACAGTGGATGCCGTAAATGTACTGTGAACTGTGAATGCGCAGCTCAGTGTACATTACCGCCGACAGGCAGGGAAAGCCTTTATGACAAAAGAGACCATTAGTGCCTTCTTCATAAATACCCTGCTTGTCAGCTTTTTTCTACTTGAGTTTAATACCACTTTACAGCGTACCCAACCTGACCTAAGTGATAAAGTGTAGGCACCTTGTTGTTTGTAAAAGTACTTCTATTTTTCTTCAAATGCATCCTGCTTAACCTCTTGGACTCTAGGCTTAGGTGCACAAGCTTGTTCAAAGTTAAATTTAAGTTACAGCCCTTCCTGAAACCAAAGCATCATTCAGCTGTTAAATGCATTAGCTGCATTAGCATCACGGGGCAAGTGATTAGTCCCGACTCGGACAGAAGTCGCGGCTCCCAGTACAGAGTAAAGGAGACTCCATTTGGGCACTGGGATTTTACAGGCAAAATCTGGTACTTATAACACAATGTATAATTTGCGCTAGTAAATAAATAAAAATATATCTATGAATCAAAAAAAATATATATAAAATATTATCCATGTAAATAATATTTATAAAAAAAAAATTTTTTATATAAAAAAATGTCCAAACAAACAGTCCAAAGTTTGAGATGTGTAATACAGATCCAAAAACGTGCACAAAAAATATAAATGTGACAATCCACCAGATATATTTTTATTTATTTACTAGCGCAAATTATACATTGTGTTATTTGTTACACTTTATTTATTTATGGTGGATTTTGCAGCTGGTATATCAATTAAGTGATCCATACACATATATTTTTTTCTCTTTCTTTCCATAGGCGCCATTATATTTATTTACTTAAAATCTGGTACTTGTAGGTTCCACAAGGTGCACTTCAGCACTCTTGTTACCATAGAGATGTATTAGGCCAGGTTAGTTTTTCTGTAAGGAACCATTCCATGAAACTAATCAGTTAGAGATTGGAGATGCATATGTGTGTGAAAATATTGTGTATGTTACATTAATTTTCACCTCCTTCATCTTCTGATGCTAAAGTACACATATGCTGTACAATAATTTGGCCCTTCCATTTGGCTCTCAATTCGGCTTTTCCAAAGATGGATGTCAACCCTTTCTGGTGTAATGGAGAGTTGGGCAGAATGGAGGGGGTCTGTGTCTGGATGTAGATAGGTGAGGGGTGCTGTAACCCATACAGGGTTTCTAGTACAAAAATACTTCAGATTTTACACTTTAGATTTCTTGTGTGTGAATTACATATGGAATAGAAAATGTTTAAATTTAAATACAAAATACTTAAAGGTGTTCTAAATTATTTATTGCAAGTCTTAAGGAGCATTACTTTTAGTGTCCATTTATATGAGGTGCTTTACTTTGGCCCCTGTGCAGGTCTGTGTTTTCTCAGCATGGGGCCCACTCACCCGCATGTCATACTAGGACATAGCGGCTGTGTCCATGAAGCCATGTGTTCCAATAGAAATTAATTGGATAAAGGCAAGGGGATGGACGAAACACGGTCCTCGTGTTGGGAAAACACAGACTTAACATGGGGCCTGCAGTAAAGCGCCCCGTGTGAATAGACCCTTAACACTGAAAAATAATATTTACACAAATGAAAAAAAAGTTTGTAAATGAGAATCTTTAGTAGTGAAATTTTTTGAGCAGCAATTTCATATACAATTGTATAGTAACATTTAAAAGTGTCTGAATTTTTTTAAAGTCTTCTTGATTATTACAATAAGTACAATTAGCTCTAATATATAGAATTTTGCTGCAGGCTATTGCATTAGGAAGATCTATTTCACCTAATAATGCAAATTGCATTTTGTTTATGGAGTGATAAATGATATGTCTTGTCCTATCATCTTCTTTTGTTTTTCTATCAACTAAAAGTATTCTTTTGTATATATATTTTAGAGAACAGTGCAGAAAAATGCAAAATATGTATGTCTGGCAAATAAAACTTGTCCAGTGGACAAAAGAAGAAGAAACCGCTGCCAGTACTGCAGATTTCAAAAATGCCTCAGCGTTGGCATGGTTAAAGAAGGTAAAATGTTTTATTTAATATGCTTGTAAGCTTTTAGCACAGAACTTGAAATTCTGTTTATTTAACTGCAGCCCTGGTTTTCTACCTTAAAACTCGATTTGCAGTGCGAGATTATAAAATATAATACTTTCCTTTTTTTCAATATGTGATGACATACCCTATGTACTCAGCTGCATACGGATCTTAAACTGTTGGGGGAGGAGAAGCAACACACTGATCTTCCCAGTGAATGGCTGGGGGGGGGAGGTTTTCAGAGATCGCCTAAAAGTGAGCAGAGTAGGCGATAGTCTGATAAATTGGGGTAGAGAGTTCCAGAGGATGGGGGAAGCTCTGGAGAAGTCCTGGAGATGAGCATGGGAGAAGGAGATAAGGGAGCTAGAGAGTAGGAGGTCGTGCGAGGAGCGGAGAGTACGGTTTGGGTGATATTTAGAGACAAGATCAGTGATGTAATTTGGGGCAGAGTTATAAATGGCTTTATATGTTATTGTTAATGTTTTGAATTTTATCTGTTGGGCAATGGGAAGCCAGTGGAGGGATTGGCAGAGAGGGGTGGCAGATATAGAACGGTTAGTAAGGTGGATGAGTCTGGCAGCAGTATTCATGATAGACTGAAGAGGGGATAGCCTGCAATGAGGTAGGCCAATGAGGAGGGTGTTACAGTAGTCAAGGCGAGATATAACAAGGGAGGGAATAAGTTGCTTAGTGGTTTCCGAGGTTAGGAACGGCTGTATCTTGGAGATGTTGCAGAGGTAAAGTCTACAAGGTTTGGACAGTGATTGGATTTGGGGGTGAAAGGACAGATGGGAGTCTAGGATTACACCTAGCACCCTGGCATGAGGGGAGGGACTAATGGTTGTGTTATTGATCATGATGGAGATGTCAGGGGAGGGGGCACCGGCTGGGGGGAATACTAAGAGCTCAGTTTTGGAAAGATTGAGTTTGAGGAAGTGGAGTGACATCCATGCCGATATGTCACTTAGTAGGTTAGTGATGCGAGAGGAGACTGAAGGGGTGCGGGTGAGGGGTAGAAAGATAGATTTGTGTGTCATCAGCATAGAGATGGTACTTAAAGCCATGAGAGTTTATCAAGTGACCAAGGGAGGAGGTGTAGATGGAGAAGAGAAGGGGTACAAGGACAGAACCTTGAGTTACAGCAGTGTTTCTCAACTCCAGTCCTCATGGACCCCCAACAGGTCATGTTTTCAGGATTTCCCTCAGATGAAACAGCTGTGGTAATTACTAAGGCAGTGAAACTGATCAAATCACCTGTGCAAAATAATGGAAATCCTGAAAACATGACCTGTTGGGGGTCCATGAGGACTGGAGTTGAGAAACACTGAGTTACAGGTATAAGCACTTAATTAACAATATTATAACTAAAGAACATTTTTGTTTATTCTAGTGGCTTTCACTTGATTGCATTTGATGATACCACATGTTTAATTCCTTTTCTTTAAAAAGGGCATTTCAGTACAATAACCAAACTTGTAAATGTATTTTACTGCATATCTTTTTCAGTATTATTTATTCAGGCTCTTGAAATATGTATTGATCCCTGGTAGAAAAAAATAAAGTCTGGTTCACACCCATTGCACTGTGGTAACACAAACTTTCAGTGTGGTACACTGCAACACAATGGATAAGTGTATTATCATTCATTTTGAATGGCATCCCAAAGTGCGTACACATCGAAGCTGCACTTTGGTTTTCCCAGGTGAAAAAAAAAACATGCAGGAGCAAGTTTTCCAATGTTGAGGCCTATTCAAGAATAATAGGCTGTCTCAACACATCATCTAGTTACCACAGGTTACTATGGTGTAAATGGGCCCCAATAAAATATATGAAAAACAAAAATTCTTGAGGATCTACACTATATTGCCAAAAGTATTGGGACACCCCTCCAAATCATTGGATTCACATGTTCCAATCACCTCCATGGCCACAGGTGTATAAAATCAAGCACCTAGGCATGCAGACTGCTTCTACAAACATTTGTGAAAGAATAGGTCGCTCTCAGGAGCTCAGTGAATTTAGGCGTGGTACCGTGATAGGTGGCCACCTGTGCAATAAGTCCATTCATGTAATTTCCTTGCTACTAAATATTCCATGGTCAACTGTTAGGGGTATAACAAAGTGGAAGCATCTGGGAACAACAGCAATTCAGCCACCAAGTGGTAGGCTACGTAAAATGACAGAGCGAGGTCAACACATGCTGACGTCAACTGTCTGCAGAGTCAATAGTTAAAGACCTCCAAACTTGGTGTGGCCTTCAGATTAGCACAACAACAGTGCAAAGAGAGCTTCATGGATTAGGCCGAGCAGTTGCATCCAAGCCTTACATCACCAAGTGCAACGCAAAGCGTCGGATGCAGTGGTGTAAAGCATGCTGCCACTGAACTCAGAGCAGTGATGACATTCTCTGGAGTGACCAATCACTCTTCTCTGTCTGGCAATCTGATGGACGTGTCTGGGTTTGGTGATTGCCAGGAGAACTGTACTCACCTGACTGCATTGTGCCAAGTGTAAAGTTTGGTGGAGGGAGGTTTAAGGTGTGGAGTTGTTTTTCAGGGGTTGGGCTTGGTGACTTAGTTCCAGTGAAGGGAACTCTTAAGGCATCAGCATACCAAGACATTTTGGACAATGTCATGCTCCCAACTTTGTGGGAAGAGTTTGGGGATGGCTCCTTCCTGTTCCAACATGACTACGCACCAGTGCACAAAGCAATGTCCATAAAGACATGAATGAGCGAGTTTGGGGTGGAGGAACTTGACTGGCCTGCACAAAGTCCTGACCTCAACTCGATAGAACACCTTTGGGATGAATTAGAGCGGAGACTGCGAGCCAGGCCTTCTCGTCCGACATCAGTGCCTGACCTGACAAATGCGCTTCAGGAAGAATGGTCAAACATTCCCATAGACACCCTCCTAAACTTTGTGGACGGCCTTCCCAGAAAAGTTGAAGATGTTATAGCTGCCAAGGGCGGGCCAATTCAATATTGAACTCTACGGACTAAGACTGGGGGGCCATTAAAGTTCCTGTGCGTGTGAAGGCAGGCATCCCAATACTTTGGTAATATAGTGTATATGGATTGCTTGGGGATTTTGGTGGATTTAAAGTGTATGTAAAGTCAGAACATGTTTTTGAGAGAGTAGGAAAGAGTTAAAGCCCCTTATCAGGTTGTTTTTTTTTTTTTTTTTTTGCTGTCTGTACCCTGCTGGGATGATTTCCCTTCACTTCCTGTCCTTGAAATATAACTGGAAGTGAGATGAAAGTGAGGGGAATTCCTATCTTAGACAGTTACCATAAAAAGAGCCCTATTGGGAGTTTTTCCCTCACCTGTTGCTCTTATGACAAGTCTATCATTTAAGATTTCCCATTACTCCCTGTTTTGTTGACATTGGGGTCTAAACTTTCCCCATTCTATCCAAAATGGAACAGAATGTTTTGCTTTTACATACACTTTAGGGTAATTTCATGCAGCACTGCACTCTCCACTGAATTCAGAAGAATTTATGCAGTCACATACATGACACACTGAGGCTGATTTACTAAAGGATTTTAGCAATAAATTGTAGCTGTGTTCTCTTTGAACACCAAATCCTGTGTAGGTAAAATATACAAATAGTAACTTGCTTTTTACAATCTTCAATTGATTTATTGAGGAAACATTCTTAACTCTTTTAGTAAATCAGCCTCACTGTATTCAAAACTGTAGTATAATATAAAATGGGAATAGTTTTGCTACCTAAATGTACTTGCCTTAGTTATATCCATTACAGAAAATACATTTGAACATGGTATATCTTATTCATTTAATTAGTTGTAAGAACAGACAGTCTGAAAGGAAGAAGAGGAAGACTTCCATCTAAACCAAAAAGCCCTTCTCATCAAGAATCATCTCAAAGGAGTTTGCCATCTCCCTCAAACAGTATGTTGGAAGCTTTGATTCAAGCAGTGGAAGACTCTTCACCCAGGGATCTTGACTACTCTACGGTACGTCTGCTTGTTTTGTTATTTTCTATAGCCCTAACAATTGTTTTGCAGAGTATATAGATAATTTGTATCAGTTCCTACCACCAAAAGACCTTATAGTATAATGTCCCTGTAGAGCTGTCTCCAAAGGATGATGTCCATGGGCTTTTACTCACCTGGCAACCAGGCACATTGTATTTCTTCAACCAAATGCACTCACACGCACTTCAGCTTGGTGTCTTCAATGACCATAATATAAAAATGTGCCAAAGTTATATAAAAAAATGCAAACTAATGTTTATACAATCCACCCCATAAAACAAATACATATATTTGCTGTAAGTGTTCAAAATATATAAAAAGGTCCAAAAGAAATAAGTATAAATCCAAAAATTATAAAAAAAATATAAAAATGAAAATGAAAGTCCTTCCAATCCTTCCAATCCTTTCTCACGATGATAAAACCTCAAAAAAGGAAATATCACATAGTGTATTATCTTTTTAGTACAACAAAATATTTGTGACAACACTCTAGTGATTATCCAAATAGGAATATAATTTTTCCCTTTGGTTTTGAGGTTTTATCATCGTGAGAAAGGATTGGAAGGACTTTCATTTTCATTTTCGTATTTTTTTTTATAATTTTTTGGATTTATACTTATTTCTTTTTGGACCTTTTTATATATTTTGAACACTTACAGCAAATATATGTATTTGTTTTATGGGGTGGATTGTATAAACATTAGTTTGCATTTTTTTATATAACTTTAGCACATTTTTATATTATTGTTTCACATCTTCAAGGGTGAAGGTGTTATTTGTGTTATGGGGATTTAAGATTTTGTCTTAGTTGATTTTTTGAACTTGTCACTTGTTGTATTTAAGGAAGTGGTATTTATAGATATATCTTCAATGGCCAGTCTAAGGGATGTTTTGTTTATGGAGTTTATTGTAGAACTAGGGATAAGGATGAGGAATTATAGTAGGATACTCCAAATCAATACTGTTCACAATGAGGACATCTAGCTGATCTCTTAGTTGAGCACTGTAGAAGTCTTGACTGACAATAGATAGCAGACTTCCCTTTGTCATATATAGCAGCATGTGATTTAGGAGTGTGCAAAGTCCCTTTAGCGGTAGTAGTAGTAGTAGTAGTTACAGGGCTGAGCTCCTCAACTAACAAGCCACTTACGGCAGACTGCGACAGCCCAGAGCAGCATGAGCAGACCTAGCTCATCAATCACAGCACTCTGTTAAGCAGAATACCACACTGAATTTACCTGGTAAGCAAAGAAACACAGCTATGCTTAACCCAACTATACATATCCTAGCACCTAACTAGGAGGGTGCTACACTCTCCCCCCGCCAAAATAGGCCATGTCCTCACAAAATTTTTTGTACAAAAATCTAAGCGGAGTATCCCACAAATTTGGAGGGGGAAAAGGGAAATAACATATGTTCAAACCTAATAAGGGCAAATAAATTAGCAGTGCAAAAATAAAGAATCTGCTGTACAAGTATGTACACAGTTTCAAACATCTTCACAAGTTTTAGGCAGAGCCCTACCAAGTGCAGCTTTTATGTGCACCCCCCACCAAAATGGAAGTAATTGGTGGAGTGAAGTAAAAGCATACCTAACTATACCTTAAACTACCTATAACATTTTAGATTTTATCAGCCATGTACAATATGTTACAGTGAAGAGCCTCAGCCGAGGCAGAGTAGTTCCTTGCAGTCCTGCAGGAAGAGAAAACGGAACAGATATGCACACATTTCACATCCTATTATATAAGCTAAGGGTGGGAACATCTTCTCACTAAGAGGTGATCTTCCCACCAAAAATGCAATTATCAAATCTGCTCCAAATATTCTCTTAGCAGGCAGTTCCAATGATGGCCCCCTAAGGGTGACTCTTGACACGTCGTCTCTCAGATCCCTGAAAGAAAACAAACGTAGACATCCTAACTAATCTTAGCTGTCTAGGTATGTCTTTGAAAAATAGGCTCATTCACTTTAAAGTCCTTTTGTTCAGAATTGAGGCCCAGGCTCTGCTGACCAAAGTCCATGGCCCTCACACAGAGAATTGGGAGCTAGGGTCTCTCTGCATGCAAAACACCTTTCCTTGTGGTACCAGGAACAAACCACCCACACAGTGGCAATAAACTCAGCAAGGGATCCTCCCCCCACTGGGCACAATAACTTCACAGCAAAGATCTTTGCAAAGTGTCCATGGAAGAATCTTTGCAGTGTCCTTTCAGATAAAGAACTTAGCAAGGGATCCTTCCTCTGCTGTTTGGAAGTGACTTTCTGTAGGAGTCTCTGCTGATGAGCCATCAACTGGCCCTAAGGCAACAGCTCAAGAGACATCTCCTAAAGAGGAACAAAAGCTGCCTCCTACACTGGACAACAGTTCAATTTACTAGCTGGAGATTCAGGACTTCACAAAGGTTTCTTTTCCTTTGTGCACAATTTCTTTTTGTGGCAAACCATTGCTCGACATCACAGCAATGGCTCACCCAAACTTACTTTAGCATGGCATGTCCAGGCATGAGCCAAAGTACCCTTCCCCCATGTCACGAGGAGGTAAAGGAAGGGATTTAGAACCAGGAAGTTACCCCTTCAATTTGCAGTTCCTTTAACACTTGAGCTTGAAACTTGAAACAACTGGAGAGCTTTCAATAGGCAGATGTTTCTCCTGCACTTGAGTAGAACAGAAGTGAGCAGCTGTCCTTTCATCATGACAGAAACTCACAAGGGCTTTGCTGGAGGAAAAAAACAAAGAGTTTTCTGAGCATCAGGGGTTTACCCCCTCCAGGTTGTAGCTTTGGGTATTGGATAGGAAAAGTCCTTATACTGGAAGTCCATTTCCCCTGGAGATAGCAACAATCTCCAGACACATCCTTCTTCAATTTGTAAGTATAGAAAGGGAAGGGGAGTTGGGGAATAGAGGGTTTGCCCTCTAGTAACAACTTAGAACTGCGAATTTCGGTCAGGAGCCCCTGGCACAACATTTGCAGAACTTTTTTTTTTTTTTTTTAGCTACAGGTCCCATCAGGAACAAGGGACCTCTTTAGCAGTAGAAATCAGGGAGTGGTATCTGGACCATCCATCCATCAGGACCTCAGGTATTACTGGCCCACTCTTGACTTCGTCGTCTGGCTTTCTTAATCACAACTTTGTCAATGAAAATGGACCTTCCTAGGCACCAGTTCTCCTTGACAGAAAGGAATTCCTCCCATAGTAGAGGTTGTGATCTGTTGCGGAAGGGCTTGGGTATATACATGAAATCCCCTACTGCTTCTTCACACCATTTCTCTTCCCTTCCTTGGTGCATAGGAGTAGTCATATCCATATTCCAAAGCCACTTTCCACTGTACGATATGCTGGGAGCGGGAGAATCTGTGCAGCTTCTGCCTATCACCACTTCCTGGTAGAGCATATGGAGTTTCCTTCTGTTTGATGGGGATGCTGTAGGCCTCATTTTCCGCTCGAGCCCAAGCATAATTTTAACAGGTCAGGCCTCCTGTTGGCATATGCTTCGCAGAAGCCCAGGTTTCTCGCACACTGGGTGAGGATGGCATCTTCCTCCCCCTTCTTAGCAACTTCATGGGCCCACTCAGCTTTCTCTGCTGACCCCCAGTTGTCAATTCCCTTCTTCTAAGGATCCATAGTGATGCTGAAAGTTAGGTGACCCCGTGTCGATGAGCCCTGGCTCTTCCTCCCCTGAAGATTCGAGCCTATGCACTCTGCAGGCCGCTGGAACACTAGCCAGTGTTCACTTTTTCCAGACCACGCTGACTATCATGCACCAGGGGGGAGGTAGCAAGCACACAGAGTCCCCAAATTCCTCAATGTCAGTACTCATGAGGCTTACAGACAGAATGGTTGACTCCTTCCAATCATTTAGGCGAAACCCTCCAGTGATACCAGACAGAGCTTTGGTGGATAATTCCCCTCAGTCAGCTTACTGAAGGGCCCTCTGTTTCCTCTTGTACCAAATTGTATTGTAACTGTAATGTCTATGTCAGGGCTCCCGATATGACCAGAGGTGTGTGGACTGACACAGGGAAACGCAGGCTTCAGGTATAGAGTAAATAAGACAATTTATTAAGACTAAACAACACAAACGCAGTGCAAGGTAAACATAACACAGTGCAAACAACCCAACCTCCAACAGATAACCATATATACAATCAAACGTAGTCGGGCAGGCCGGGTCGGTAGCAAACTGGCAAACAGCGTACCAGGAGCGAGCGAAAGAGTGGTCAGGAATAGCCGAGGTCAGGACAGGCAGAGTTCGTTCAGAGTCAGGATCAAAGCAGCGTCAGGATCAGGCAGGAAGCAGACAGGATGCAGGTACAGGGGCTCATGGGAAACATACACCAAGGCACTGACTGCAGGTCTGGCCATTCCTTAAATACACCTCCTGCAATCAGCCTCAGGTGATGGCTGACTGCAGGAGTGAGCTTCTGGTTGCTGAGAAACAGTCTACCTTAATTTTGTAAAGTGCTGTGCAAACTGTTGGCATTATATAAATCCTGTATAATAATAATAATAATAATAATAACCAGAGTCACTCTCTAACTTCAGGCCCTCAGGTCGACCCACCTGAGGCCAGATGGCAACAGTTGCCAACCGAGGCAGCCATCTTCCAGCCAGGCTGGTGCAATCTACTCCTGGGAAAGACCCAGAGCGCATGTGCTCCTAGAACATAAATACAACTCCCAGCATGCAATGGGACTGCCTTCCCTTACAATTGGCCAGGTCTGTATCCATATACATGCTGTTCATTTGCCTAGCCCCATCCCATGTTCTGGAAGGCTCTCCTAGCTTCCTGAAGGCAGACAGAACTCAGACAAACTCCAACAGCGCAAGAGCAGCAGGCATAGTTAGGCAAACCTCCCTCATCAATCACAGTACTCTGCTAAGCAGAATACCACACTGAATTTACCTGACATAATTTCTGGTGAGCAGAGAAACACAGCTATGCTTAACCTAACTCTGATTATCCTAGCACCTAACTAGAAGAGTGCTACATCCCTAAAGAGATAAGTGAACTTACCCAGTAAGTTCGAAATTTTCCCATTACACAGCCAACAGAAAGTCATGAATAAAACCAATCCACCTGTAAATCAGGTGTTACGTTACCCCCAGGCAATGAACTTGTGTAGCTTGACCTGGGGCTGGGGTACAGAGATGTTGCATTCATCAATAGTCATTTGAAACAGGAACAGTAAAGGCAGAATAAACCTTCCTACCTGCATTTTGTGTTTTTGACCACCATAAGATGTGCATTAATGTAGTTTTATGGTGTCATTTGTTGACTTGTACACAGAGTATATAGAACAGTAAATCATCATGTTCCTGTGCCTGCCAATTTGTTTCATTTCAGTTAGATTGAAACATGAAGCATGGCACTGCACAAGTTAATGTATGACCTGTGTCCGTAGTCGAAAGCCCACCAGAGATAAAGCAATTTTCTTTCCTGCAGCTACAGGTTGCAGAAAAGAGAATCACTCGATTCCCGAATACAGTGTTGATGGGGGAATCCCTCCCATTGAGCTATTATGTTCTCCCGGCAGGGGAGTGTGGTGAGCTGTCCCTGCCAGGAGAACATAGTGATTGTTGCTAGCTGTGCTGTCCTACTAACGGTTATCTGACAGCTAACAAAACTGACAGAAGCAGCATTGTTTCATTCCAAAACTGAATTTACGTCTGCAAATAGTTCTGTAAAACTGCAATACAATTACGTAAACTGAAGTTACAATATGCTTGTACATATGACTTTTATAATTGCATACAATGAACACATTTCATGCAAACAGCTACCTACAAATCACATTAAATACATTTAAATGTGATCTGGATATACATGTGACTTTAACAAACACAACAAATTAACTTACAGGCATGTGTATCAAAGGGAGAATGGAGGAGACCTTCACTGGAAGCTAAAATGGCTGCAGTGGTAGATGGGAAATCTTTATTTTTAACAAGCATGAGACACTCCCTGTTCTTTATTGAAAAGAATAATAAAAACAGGTGCAGTGAACACTCAATTGATGGCTCCCTGTTCATCACAATTGTAACACTACCCCCATAGGAGTTGCAAAGTATTTGTGTCCCCCTATAGTCCTGCACAGCCAGGCAACCCGTATTTCCACAAACTTGCATTCAGGAATCAGTAACCAGTTCTTGAGCTTGTTTTATAGTTTTTTTAGGGGGGTTTCGACTTGGATAGGGTAAAGGGTGCCCGGGATGTCCAATGGAACTGAGAAACCGAGGACAACTTCCTGAACTATGTACAAATGGTTCCAGCAGTCTCTTTCGGAGAGCTAGCCAGTATCTCCAGGCAACACGTATTTCCACACAAGCTTGCATTCAAGATTCAGTAACCAGTCCTTGAGCTTGTTTTAAAAGTTTTATTAGGGAGGTTTTAACATGGATAGGGTAAAGGGTGTATGGAATACCCAATGGAACTGAGAAACCAAGGACAACTTCCTGAACTATGTACAAGTGGTTCCAGAAAACAGTCTCTTTCGGAGACCTAGCCAGTGTCTCCTGTAGTACCACCCCAGACCCTAGATGCTCCTCTATCTGACTGCCTGGAGGAGCAGGGGATCCAGTGCCTGCCACTTTGGTAGTTGCTAAACTGGTTTCCCACCAGAGTGCTCCTTTCCCTATCTGGCCCAGGGGGTGCAGAGTTACTCACTTGGTCCTCCTCCTATGCTATGAGTGGGTCGGTGGCTGCTACCAGGCCTTCTAGCTGGGCCGCTCCTTCCCTACTACACAGGTGGTCCTCTGTCAGGAGGCTGATTAAGGTCCAAGCTTTCCTCCTTCCAAGGTCCCTGCCAGGAGATGATCCCCTTCCCACCTGGCCCCTCCCAGGCTCCTGCTCTCCAGCCTTCACGTCCTCATCCACCCAAACTCTTCTCCTCCTCTTCTGCTTCTGAGCAGGCTTTGTGCCTTTTAAGGGTTGTCCTGGCCCCTTGCGAAGCTTCCTGTTGGGGATTAGCCAGGATTTCCCAAAGGTGCAGATCAGCCACTCCTAACATCTGCTCACTGCTTCTAGAACTTTCTCCAAAGTCCTAGTGCAGGGGGAAGTCTCAGAGAACTGATCTGCAGAGCCTCTCAGCTCTGACCTGAATCTGATCCTCTGACTATTGCACAGGCTGCTACTCAGCCTCTGACTAGCAATTAGGACTCTAGCTCTCCTTAGCTGACTAGGAGGGTGCTAAACAATGATGATATACAGAACACAAATCAGCAATTTCAAATGGTGGGACTGCTGTGCGTCATCATGAGGTCCCAACAAGGCCAAAAGCCAGAAAGACAGGTAATGATAATTGTAATCAAGCCAAAGAAATATCCAAAACGTGCAAGAAGGATCCTGAGAAAGGACATGAATAGTTGGCACTTTTGGTGCGTACCTGAGGTGAGGACTGAAGATTTCAACCTAAATGCAGCCACCCTGACACGGGAAACTTTTCATTGTTACCTTCATTCATTGAAAAAACCATCTCTGCTCATGTTTTTTTTTTTTTCATTAAAATAAAGTAAAATTTAGCAACTTTGACATGTGTTAGTAAAACCGTACATATCATCACAACTACTTTCTGTATCCAGGTGGATTATAACTTGCTTTTTTTTCAGGACAAATTGGGCTTTTCATTTGGTGTTAAATGGTAATGGATATCTCCTGACTGATTTTTTTCTTATCAAAGAAAAACTGGCCCAAAATAGAAAACAAAAATCCTTTTTTTAAAATTTAGCGACGTATTTCTTGTTACTACCATAACCTACCACCAAAGAACAAGTGATACCACATATGTATATGTTATTTGTTGTTTGTACCCATAGTACAGCCCAGAAACAATAGTGCCCATTGGGCTTTTTTTTTTGTCCTACCGAAAACACTGACACTAACTGACAATGATACTAGTTTAAAAAAAATGTAAAACAAAATTCTGACATTTGACCCTGACCTTGACCCAAACACTAACCTTGCCACTGACCTAGATCAAACCTTGATCTAGGTATTTTTTTTTTAATTTTTATTATTTATTTTCTTTGTTTTCTCTGTGCAAGGAGAGAGAGAGATACAATGTATCTCTCCATGCAGAAAGAAAGTGAACATGGGGGTGGGCTTCACAGTGACTGATCACTGTGATAGCCAATCAGAGGTGAATTGGGAGTTGTGGGTCTTGATCGTTAGTACAGGACCCGGGGCTCTCAGTGACAAAGACAAATATTGAAAAAAAAGCCCAGTTCTGTGAGGCTGTATATTTATGTGACGCCAGCATCAAGGGGTTAAATTAATTGAAAAAGTATATGTCATAAACAATCATTAACAGTATGTACCACTAAAAATATGATGTAATGTAACAATTTGTAAATCATATGAACATGGAATGTTTTCTTTGTGCATGCATGCATGTCTGTAGATGTAAAATACTTTGGTGAATGATCACTTCCTAAGACCAAAGGATGAATAAAAGCACCATGCTTTAGAATAGAATCTAGAGTCCACAAACATTTTTATTCATATAAACTGTGTTTTAGGGGCCAAATGATACCCCCTTCTTCAGGGTTATTCTTTAAATGTTTTTTTTTTAGCCCTGAAGAAGGTGACGGTCGAAACATGCTACCTTGTTTGTTTGAATAAAACTTTCTGAACTATAGATTCAAGTGTAATGTTTTTATTCATCATCTCTTTTCAGGTTTTTAATGCTGCCTATGTTTCTGGGGAGATTCACCTTCTTCATTGGTTCTGGTGACCATTGTCATGAAAAAAGTGTTGGGAAATGTTAAATTGTCACAGAAACTGGAGGTGAGGGAACATGTTCCAATGAGGACATCTGTTCCTATGACATATGTCTAAAAAGAGGATTTCCCTGCTTTGGAGAGATTTCCATTAACTTCCTGTTTTGTCTCTGGTACAGGAAGTAAAAGAAAATTTCCCAAATGGGACATTGGACAGCAGTCTTTAAAATTCTTTACTCTATTCAAAATAATAAAAAAAATGACTTTACATCTTGGTACTCAGAGTTGTTACAGCAAAATATCTATCCAGACAATGATTATTCATTTTTTTGTAATCGTGCTGCATTATTGTAAATGTGCTTTCTGTATTAAGGTCCAATTTATATTTTTACACTGGGGTAATGGCAGCGATGGACGATACCTACATTGTATTACTAGTCATTTTTATTGGCAACCCAACTCACTAAAGGAGTGCACATGCATTGCTTTACATCAAAATGCATGGCCATGCACCATAGTGTGCTTCAGTCCATTGTTTAAAAATTTTGTGAGACATTAAATTTTCTGAACATTTTTGTGTTTTGGCAGCTCATTGTTTTCAGTAGAGTAACACAATGCACATTATTGACCAACATAACACATGTTAACACACTGCAAAAATGTAAATGAATCCTAATCTTTGTCTGATGGTTTATGGATGGGGGGGAGTATGTCCATTTTATACAGTATATGGCCTTTTTATGTTAAAAATTATATTGGCAATATTTTCCTGTTTACATGATAAAAATTAATAGAAAATATTCCTAAGAATGAAACAAAAGTTATTCAGAATTATTTACCCAATTAATTATTTGTTTGTTAAAATCCACAGTACTCTGCTGATACTGATCAGGCGGCTGCCAGCACAGATATAGAATGTATTCAACAGTTCTACAATCTTCTTACTATCTCCATTGAAATCTCTAAAAAATGGGCAGAAAAAATTCCGGGATTTGGTGAACTTTCACCGGATGATCAGACATTACTGATAGAAATGGCATTTCTGGAACTTTTTCTATTAAGGCTTTCAATCAGGTAATCCTGCTTTGTTTATATTTTGAAATTTCTACAGAATTTGTTCTAACAGGAACAGACTTTAAAGCCGGCCATAGATGAGTCGAAAACAAACGATTGAACAGTTTTTTTTTGCCAGCTGTGGAATGCGATTTTCATGCCACAATCGATGGTTAATCAAAAGTGCCCGATCCAGCAAGCTGGGGTTTATTTTAGAAAAACGAAACAAATGATGGCACAATCGTATGAGCTATTTTTGTTTTTTGACTGGCAGCGTTCAGTTTTCGACTCAGCTCAACCGAATTAAGTTGCTGAAAGACCACATGACGGACTGAACCCTGCTTATTAGTTTATCTCTCTTTTTTTTAAAATCTGTAAGTATAGAAACTGATTTTAATTTCAGTTGCATTCAATTTTTATTAAACGTGACAACAAATATATCTGCCTGTGGCATCAGCATTCAAATGTATTTAAATAGTGGTATATATTAGTACAAGAGTTTCAATCAAATAAACAGTGTTGTAACGTGATTAATATGGTGTATCATATGAAGTGAAATCCAGTGGAGCGAAGAACATCTCTGGGAAAGGTGGGGAGGATTGCTAGTGTGCTAAATGAATGAGGTCATTGTAAATATAAATTAGAACCTCGTACATATATGAGTGTTGTTGTAGTTAGCCATCTACAGTCTGAGGAAACCTCATGATGGTTCCTGAAGCTGTGCTCCAAATCAAGGGTCTTCAAACTTTTCAGCACAAGGGGCACATTGTATATTTTACAAATGTTTGCAGGCTGAAAAGAGAAAATCAATTTTACATCCAGGAGTGCTCATAAGAGCCCCCTCTTACAATCAGGAGTGCTCAGCAGAGTTCCTCCTTATTCCATGTGTGCCCAGCAGAATTCCTCCTTATATCTTCCTTATAGCCATGTGTGTCCAACAGAATTCTTTCTTACATCAATGTGTTCTCAGCAGAGTCCCCACTTACTGTACATCCACATGTGCCCAGCAGCCCCTCCTTACATTCATGTGTGCTCAGCAGAATTCCTCCTTACATCAATGTGTTCTCAGTAGAATCCCCACTTAGATCCACATGTGCCCAGCAGAGTCCCTGCCAGGGGCGGACTGACAACTCATGGGGCCCCCGGGCAATAGGGGATCATGGGGCCCGTGTCCTTGCCCAAACTTAAAAAAGCCTATGAAAAAGGTACCAGAGGCATCTCATGGGGCCCCCTACTGACCCTGGGCCCTCAGGCAGTGCCCGAGTTTTGAAATGGTCATTCCGCCCCTGGTCCCTGCTTATATCCATGTGTGCTCAGATTTTCCCCTTACCTTTAAGGTGCTTGAGAAGGAGGGTGGAAGCTGGGAGGTGGAGCAAGTCTGGACGGAGGAAGTCCGGTTCCCTTGTAAATGCTGGGGGCAAGCTGGCAGTCCTAGAAATTGACCACAGTGGAGGGAGGGAGGAGGTAATTTGCACTGAGGGATGGTTATGACTGGCTGGCAGTGAATGTGCCGGACTCCGTATTACAATACATAAAATGATGCATCCACTGCTAGTCAGTCAGGGCTGGATGTGATATTAGTTTCAAGACCCCTGCCCTACACAGCAAAAGCTAAGCAGAAAGAGGAAAAGGGAGTAAATGAAGAAAGCGATTAGAGAAAGTGGAGATAGAAATAGTGAGAGTAATGCAGAGTGAACACAATTTTTTTTTTTTCTCAACCCAGCTGGCTGAACAGAAAAGAAAAATTACAAAAACAATATGAAATGTCAAACTCAATCTTTCTAAAACTGAGCTCATAGTATTTCCTCCAGCCTGTACCCCCTCCCATGACTTTTCCATCACGATCAATAATACAACCATTAGTCCTCCCCTCATGCCAAGGTACTAGGTGTAATCCTGGATTCTGACCTGTCTTTTCAGCCCCAAATCCAATCACTGTCCAAATCTTGTAGACTTCACCTCCGTAACATCTCCAAAATATGCCCCTTTTTAAACATTGAAACCACTAAGCAACTTATGTTATCTCTCGCCTTGACTATTGCAACTCCATCCTCATTGGCCTACCTAATCGCAGGCTATCCCCTCATGAGTCTGTCATGAATACTGCTGCCAGACTCCTCCACCTTACTAACTGTTCCATGTCTGCCACCCCTCTCTGCCGATCCCTCCACTGGCTTCCCACTGCCCAACGAATAAAATTCAACACATTAACAATAACATATAAAGCCATTTACAACTCTGCCCCAAAATAATGTCTATCGTCTATTTCTCCCCTCAGTTCATCCCCCACAGTTATTACCTTTTGTTCCACCAAACCCTCCCTGTTAGATTGTAAGCTCCCAGGATCAGGCCCTCCTAACCCTCTTGTATTGAACTGTATCATTGCTGTATTGTCTCCCTTTATATTGTAAATTGCTGAGCAAACTGTTGGCACTGTATAAATCCTAAATAATAATAATAATAATGATGATGGAAGCATGGATCCATCCTGCTTTGTATCAACAATTCAGGCTGCTGGTGGTGGTGTAATGGTGTGGGGGATAATTTTTTGGCACCTAGTAAAGTGGCCGGTGAGTGTATGTCACCAGAGGGTGATTGACATGCCGACAGAGAAGGATCACAGTGGTCTGTTCTCAGGCAGTTCTGGGCCCAGCATGGACCTGCAGGACCTAATGTTTACAAACAGGATACCGTGCATTGTGTTATCTGGCGATTCATCACCACCACAGAGTGCATCTCCCAAGGACTCCACTCTTTAACTAGGAACCCAATCTGTGGACACCTTTTATCCAAGGACAGCTCCCTGAATGCTGGGATTCCCAGGAAACCAGGGGTGCCTGGTCCTCTTACTGTTGTAGCGTAGAGGAATAACAGAAATGAGACTGGGGATCTAATTCATGCAGTAGAATGTGATAACAATACCTCATAACAGGGACACTGGTAAGAAAGGGATAATTCAATAAATGTATTTTAGTTAAAATTAATTAAGGCTGGATTTACAAGAGCCCATATAGTTCCCTTTACCTTCATACTAAACTGCAGTACATAGATGGGAACCAGCCCTTTATGATAAGAATGGGATTTGTTCTTTCAAATGCCTTTTTATGCAGCAAAATGCATGAGTTGTGCTACCTGAAAAAAAGAATAGGCCCAAAGGTCTGGAGGTATTATTGCTGGTTAAGGTTTGTGGATATATCCTGGGCTATATAATATGCAGTTTTACAATGCTTTGGAGAGATTTACCAATTGTGAAAACACATTGGGTTGATTTACTAAACTGGAGAAAGCAAAGTTTGGTACATCTCTGTATGGTAGCCAATCAGCTTCTAACTTCAACTTGTTCAATTAACCTCCCTGGCGGTATTCCCGAGTGTAGCTCGGGGTAGAGTTTCAGTACCAAAAGCAGTAACCCCGAGCTACACTCGGGCTTATCATGCGGCGTTGCTCAGGGATTCCCTGCAGAGCTTACCTTGTCCTTCGCTCCCGCGATGTGTCCCCTGCAGCGTCCCCGGCCATCTCCTCCGGCCGATGCCGGCATCCGGCTTCCGTGTTCCGGTCCCTGTGATGTCGGGACGTACGGGCGCCAGAACCCGGCAGCAAATTTGAATATTTAAAAAAATGACATTTTTTTGAAAATAATTATTATATAGTAAAACATTGCTGTTTCAAAGCATTTCACATACATTTTGTCCCTACTGCTTTGTCCTGTCCCCTGCCTGCAGTTTGACTGTTTTTTCTGCCTGGAAACTGAGAAACGTCCATGGTGTCCAAAAAGCGTCCCTTTAGGTCAAAAATTGGTTTTAGACCAGTTAGAGAACAGCGATAGTAAATCAGAACCACTTGCAGAATTGAGTGAATACGCTATATTTCAAATTTCAGTATTTTTGGTTTGATTATATTATTTAATTAAATGTATTATTATTGTTGTTTTTTATGATTATTTATTAAATTATAATTTATGATTTCGTGTTTCAAGTTTTATCATATCCTAGACTCTTGTTCGGACAGATTTCAGTGAATCATTCCTAAATTACAGGCCTACAATTAAAAAACGACATATTTCCATGCAAACAAATGGTACCGCTTTCAGCACCAAAAATCTGAAATAATCATACCGCTAGGGAGGTTAAGCTTTGACTAAAAACCCAGAAGCTGATTTATTTATATGCAGAGCTGCACCAGATTTTGCACTCTCCAGTTTTAGCAAATCAACCCCATTATTTTTAATATATTGCTTGTTTTTAATCTGCTGGAATATATCCCTGATGCTTACAAAGATACTGAATTATATTAAAACTGGATTCTCATCTTTTCATTTTTGCTTGATGAAGTTTCCATTGAAATTGAAATGGAAAGAACCAAAATACTTTGCAACACATGCTTTAAGATGTGTGTCTACTCACTTCATGGTGCACATTGATAAATCATAGTGCACATAAACACATCAAGATGAACGTCAATGTGTTGATGGGCATTATGATTCGTGTTAACATTCAATTTAAAGTGCATTGAAATGCACATTGAAAATTCATGACACACACATTGTGGCAAGTCAGCGTGCACTGACATGCGTTTTCATGTGTTTCTATGATTTCATTGGGAAACACATCAGGGAAATAACACATAGGTTTGCATCCAGCCTAAACATTTTGTTGATTATCCCAATGTAAAATGCAGATCCATTTGGATTTTGTTTGTTTAGAAAGTCTTTGTTTATTAAAACTGGGTAGGATCTAGTAGAGCAGTGGTTCTCAACCTTCCTAATGCCGTGACCCTTTAATACAGTTCCTCATGTTGTGGTGACCCCCAACCATAAAATTATTTACCCAGTAATTATAATTCATGAGTGTCGTTTTACCTCCAATACTGCTGCTTTCAACACAGTAGCTGCTTTTGACAGAGTAGCTGCTTTCAACACAGCAGCTGCTTTCTACACAGTAGCTGCTCTTTACACATCGGAAATATGTGTTTTCTGATGGTCTTAGGGGACCCCTGTGAAAGGGTCGTTCAACCCCCAAAGGGGTC